AGCTTCATAGCTTAGTCTCCTCCATAGTCGAGCTGCCACATTACATACATCATGGCCAAACGTTGTAGTGATTGGGTAACGTCAGATGCAATCATTTAAAAGTTCAACTGAGTCCACGCTTCCAGCAAGCAATTGTTTCTCAATAGTTGAGGGTCCAGACCCTCTGAAAAAACCAGACCATAAAACTCTTATGATGTGGAAAAGTTTTTTGTTTTGTTTTGGGTTTTTTGTTGTTGTTGTTTTTTTTAACGTGTCAAATTCTTGTGAAAGGAACTCTTAGTGCTTCAGCATCAACAGACATAAAAAGCAAAACTTTATCTGTTTGCTGCAATTGACAGGAAGTTTTTTTAGAGGGGCCAGCAATAATCAGTTATCAATGAATCTGTGTGAGTAAAGAAGAAATGCTAAACTGAGTTAAATGAATTCAGATAGATTAATTTAGATTTTAAAAATATATTTAAAAAATGACAAGTGTTTTTGCTATAATGTGAACAATTAATATTTCAAGTCTTCAGTACAAAGCTATATGCTTTTTTCATTTCTATTTACCATTTTGTGTTTTTGAATTGGAACCACCCATCAGTTTCAGAGTGACTGAAACTGGAATGCTGTGAGGTGCATTTAGGACTGAGAAGTGACAACAAAGCAGCAGTCTGAGAACGACCTGCTGAAGTGTCTGGAAACTGCTTGTTTAAGGAAAAACAGCTCTATTAGTCTGACACCACTCTTTCCCAATACTGTCAGTTTGGACAGCTGCTATTGCTCCCTTATCTACTTCTATATCAATTTGTGTTTCTATTCCCGAGTTGTCTGGTGACAGCACACTGAGCCGGCCATGGTTCAGGCTGGGAAAGTGGAAGCCGCTGTTCAAACAAACACAGGGTGAACCATCAAACCAAGTGATGTGAAAATGATACTTTAAATAGTGATCCAGTGAAATTGTGGTGAACCGGTACCAAGCTGGTAAGAAACTCAAAAACTAGAGCTGAACATCTGCAGCAGTTCAGTGGAGTCCATCCTGGTGCATAGTGCAACAGCAGGAACGCCGACTTCACTGCAGAAAGGAAACGTCAGCAGCAGGTCGCCATACAAAATGCATCGTTGTGATGGAACTCACTGTCTTTGCACTCAAACTGTGCTACCAGGATAAAGACTAAGGAACAAATGGTTTCATCGGGATTAAACACGCCCCTACCCCCCACACTGGCCCAGAGCGGTGGCCTTCAGCCTTCTGTCCAAACCTTCACCAGATTATAATGACTGTAAACAGAAACCAGTAGTAACACATGCAGCATGGCACTGAGGACAACAGCTCTGATCACAACATGCTTTTGGATCTGTTCATTTTGTTCTCCACCGCAAATATTATGCATTTCCCCTTTTTTAAACAAATCTGCTAGAATGAACCTAAATCCTCATAAATTATTGAATATTTCAACCCCTTAATGGCAGTATATTTTTTAGCTTTAATCAAAAGCTTTTGTCCCTGTCCGTCATATGAAAAGAAATTGCTTTAATACATAAGTTTGTATTATCCAAGCCTGGGAGTGTCAGAAGCTGGCAGCAACATTAATAATAATCAATTTAAATTGTTTCTGAAAAGTTGTCAAAGAAACTGTCCCCTGGCCCAATCCCATTTATGTAAACTGCCATATTTACATAAATGGGACAGTGATCAATGAAAAGTATTTTTGCTTGGTAGAAAAAAAAATTAAATATGATTTTTTTAACTCAATAATAAACAAACACAGATGAAATAAAAATGGGTGTTTTCCAAAAATGTTTCTAGAGAGAAACTTGAATAGAAAATTACCCCCCAAATACCCAACCACAGTTATGCAAAATTAAAACAAAAAAAAAGCACAAAGCATAAATCTGTGTAAAATGTTTTAGTTCTTCCTTTCTGTTGCAGCTGCTATGTCTATTGTCTGTTGTTTTATTTTATTGTATTTTTTTCCTGAGGGACAGCCTCTTATACTTTGACTTTGCCATGTATAATGACAACAAAAAATATATTAATTGAAAAAAGAACAGCATCTAGTAAATATTAATTTGATTGATTTGTACCTGATGATTGATATCAACCACAAGGTACCAGTGGAAATAACTTCAGGTCTTGAGAAGACGATGAAAGAAGAGGTGAGCGCTGTGCTCTCCTCCTGACTGTCTCCATTAGAAGCAGTCGGAGCAGATCTGAAACCCCTCTGTTGGTTCTGCCCAGCTGAAGCAGAGCTTCCTCATCTCCTTCCCAACTCGAACCTCTGGTGTGAGCCAGAGCAGGTTTAGACCTCCAGGTCACAATCCACACACCCCCTTAGACTCTCCGAGCATCTCCGCTCTAAACCCACAGAGTTGATCAATTTGTTCTGTTTGTGATTCCAAAACCAAGAGCTCAGAAACACAGAACCAAGGAGAGTAGCACACCTGCACACAGCTTAATTTATGACACATCCATTACAGTGTGGGACCACTGGAGGTAAATTGAAATTTCAAGTGATTATTTGTCTTTCTGTGCCTTCTGTGGGTGGTGAAATTAAGCCAAGGAAACAACAAATAAAAATGCCCTTACTGTAAAAACATCCTCAGCAGCAGGCCCTGCCATCTTACTGTCCTTTTCCTGTCTTAGACATTATTTTCAACCCTAATCTCCTTTCATCATAAAGTAAAAAGATACAGGATGTTGAATGGGTCTTGGTTTCTAAATAGTGATTTCCATGCTGTGTGACTAATATCCAGCGTAAGCTTCTTTAATCTCCCAATTTACGTCAATATCCTTCTCTGTTTGCGTGTGTGTATGTGTGTGTGTGTGTGTGTGTGTGTGTGTGTGTCCAACGTTAGAGCAGATAAATGATGCTAGGATTTGAGGAGACCAGTCAGATTGCTTTGCATTTGCCTAATAAAAAGCTAAAGGATATACAATAAGTGACAATATGAGTCGCTGCCAAGACGATGACATTAACACCCAGACCCAATCAAGGACACTGTCGATATCTCTTTCCTCTCACACACTCACACTTCCAACATGTCCTCGCATCCAGAGAGAGGGATTGCCTGAGATGTAGAGAGAGAGGGAGAGAGAGAGAAAGACACAGAGAGAGGGCAGCGCAGGACATTATCTTGATGAAACACAGCTTGATACAGTGAGCCAAGCCAACATGAACACAGCCCTGCTTTCTTTTAATGGAGATTACACACTCAAGGTCCACCCTGAGCTCATCTTGTTCAATACTACGTACAGCTACATCTTTGTGTGTGTGTGTGTGTGTGTGTGTGTGTGTGTGTGTGTGTGTGCGCGCGTGGGCATGTGCGTGTGTGTGTGTGTGCGTGCGTGTGGGTGTGTGCTGTTGTTTGAGCTCTCCTTCATGTAATATGCTGCTATCCCACCACACTGTTACCACACACCTCCTGACCTCAGATCTGGCAGCCAGTCAGATCTCCCGTCCGTTCCTGAGCCTTGCAGTCATTCCATCATAAAGGTTGACAACTTCCACACATGACTCAGGACTTTAGTGTCTGATTAGGGCTGGGCGATATAGCTTCAAAACAGCAATGGCACAGTTACTTTGAAAATGTAACTGTAATCAGATTACTGACTACTCCTTGAAAAAGTAACTTAGTTAGATTACGGACTACTTGATATGCAAAGTAACTAAGTTACATTAAAAGTAACTTTTTTTAGTTACTTTCAGCAGCTGCTGACAACAACGCTCCGTCACCTGTGAAAATTATATTGAGCTTCGCCAATACTTAATTGCAAGCTATTTTATTATAATAACATCAACAATGTATTTCCACTTATAAGGTTGAACTGAAGGGGAGATTGTTTAATGCTTACAACAGTACAAAAAAAGTAATTTGTGTGTTCCACTATTGTCTGGAAAACTAAGAAGGATTTTAAAGGCCCCATCCCCCTGCCCCAGCCTCCAGGTTCTGCGTTACGGCCCTGTATTTGTTGTCAGAGCGCAGCGCACAGAGCTCCTGCTGCCGCTCCACAACTCAGATATCCTTCTGCACAGATTTGTGACGCTTATCTTAATATTAATTATTATAATGGTGTATAGTTGCACAACTTTATGGACACGTTCATTCGGGGCAGTTTTATTGCGCTGTTCATGTTAGTCTCGATGTTTGCAGTTTTCTGGAGCGCAACGCGAAGCTCGACGTAATTAGAGGTAATATATTAACTTGACATTATCAAAGACACAGCGGGACGAGTCATCCGGGGAATGATGGACAGGAGAGTCTGACTAAAACGACCTGGATGACAGACAAACTCTGGGATTTATTATGTGTCTCTGCTTATTTCCAAGCGCAAATGAGTAACTTCACGTTCAAAAACGAGCCGCAAAAAGCGCAACCCGCGACTCATTAAATTTGCAGGCGACTTTAGAAACAAAACAAGCCCAAAGCCGCTTATTGTGCCGCCCAAACCGCCCAAAGTCCGATTATTATATATAATAATCGGACTTTGCGACAGAAACTCAAAATAGTTCCTGTTTTTCCAGCAACAAAATGCGCATCTCTCTCCTCCATTGTTTACATTTCTGTCGCTGCTGATAATGTCGCATAAAAACGGCGACATTATCTACGCATAAAAAAGATGCATAGAGGAAATAACATTAAATTACAAAATAAAATATTAACGCACAGTAACGCAAAGTGATTCCATTAAGTAAATGTAGTCTGACTACTGGATTTGAAATAGCAACGCGTTAGATTACTCGTTACTGAAAAAAGTTGTCCGACGTTACTTTGTAAGGCGTTACTGACGTCACTGCTTCAAAATAAAATCTCATATTTTTTTCTTATAGGACCCAATTTCCCATTTTTATTTCTATTTTTCTTTTCTTTTTTGTTCCTCTCTTTCTTTTCTAAACGACAAAAAAATATTTTCAAAAAGTTGCTTTTGGGCCAGTTGTTATATTGTGAAAATGTATTAATAACATAATAATAATATTGGCAAAATCAAGGTTCAATTTTACCATATAAACGTCTTTAAATTACAATAAAAGTTGTAATGAGAAAAAAAAGCCCTTGATAGACCTGGCATGAGCAGCTCGTTTTGTGTGGTTATTTCTTTGTGCAATTGGTTCAATATTCCTGCTATTGATAAATAATAGATGCTGATGTGTTAGAAAATAAAATATTTCTAGTAGGTAAAACCAACAACAAAGTTACCTTCCAGATGATCAACATTTCTTGTGAATTTTTAGTTTTTTGTGTGTTGGACATCTCATAATTTTACCATTTCATTCTCTGAATATTCTGACTTCATTTTTTGGTGATATAATGACTCAATTCCTGTATTATATTGACTTTATTTTCAACTTTATACTTGTAATTAAAATAAAAAAAGTCCTTGTTTTACCTCAATACTCCATCATAGAGTAAACCTGAATTTAAAGTCCAAATAAATGAACATGTGAAACACATCTGTTAAAAAAGTGGCCGCCTTGGGTGAGCTGGCATCACTCTGAAACTCAAGCAGAGTTTGAGTTTCAATTTGAAACTCAAGTTGTTGGACAAAATCCAAATTTTCCCAAACTAAAATATTCAAAACCCAAAAATTTGATTAATTGATAAAACTGATTTATCTCCCAGATGTCTCATCAGACATTGTCGTCTCATCAGATGTGACGAATCAGAATAAAGTAGTTTCTTTGAATCTTTAACAATATTTTCTGATAAGCCTTAATATATATTCAGTCAGAATACTGACTCTGACTTCTTGACTTTCCAACTTATGCAAAGACCCGCTCTGGTCGCCCCAAGTCATGCCCTGAATAATTTGTAGACCTCAGGCTTATAGCTGCACCCTGTGCAGTGTGCCATACCGCACAATTCTTCGTCGTAGTCCCACAGTTTTCCTTCTTCCCTTTGTGGCATAGTGAAGGTTACATTTAGATCATACATACCTCCTTGTTTACATATTTTCTTGCCCGGTTTCCTGGCACATTCCTTGGATATTCTTTTGACTGTAAAATGAATAGAAAACTAAAGAATAACATGGAGCTCCTGGACGCACAAAGCACACAGGAGCCAGCATGCGCACGCACACACACACATACACACACACACACACACACACACACGCAAACACACAGAGCTGATTGACTGAAAGAGACTTAGAGAGGAAGGAGAGGAAAAACAAAGGAAAGGAGAGAAAGAATGAATCACGCCGGCTCAATCAGAGCAGCATTCAGTCTATCAGTCAGCCAGCCAGTCATTCAGTCAGCAAAATCAATCGGTGATGATCATGACAACGACTGTCTTGTTTAATGAACTGTGGCCTTTGTGGCAGAGCACAATACGTTATGATGAGGTACAGACATGGGGGGTGTAGTGAAGGCAATAAGGAGAAAGAGGTTCAAGAAATGGGACAGAGGAATCAGAGGAGGACGTAGAGAAGGTCAGACAGGACAGGATGGGAGAAGCTGTGAATGGACATTAAAGTTCCATCAACACATGTGCACACTGCTTTCTCTTATACAAATCACTTCCACATTCTCAAGTTTTATAAACACCGGCATGCACGTTAAACATGCACAAAGTCATGCTTTTTGTCTACTATCAGACAGAGATGCACTCTCACACCGAACACTTCCCAACAACACAGATGCTCTCTAAGCGACGGTTGTGGCTTTATTTCTCTCAGCCCTTCCACAACCGGCCTGACTGCTGGGCCTGCAGGCCTACTCACCATCCTCAGTGGGAACGTAGATGTTGAGATAGAGGCAGTCCTCGCTCTGGTCCTGAACGTAAGTGGACACCACATCGATGCTGTTGGTGAACCAAACTGGCAACATAACGTCTGGCAGGCGGCCCTCCACAATGCTCTGAGGACACACTGGGGCAAAGTGCGTGGCATTGTGAATGTCCGACCATGATGCCGGCGGCTCCGGAGGCTGGAAACGGCGCTCGCCAGTGGGCGGGGTGGCGTAGGGGACGCCCAGAAACTGGATGACGGGCCCCAGGATCTCATTGTTGAGCTCCTTCTTGATGCCGCGCAGTCTGCCGTAGGCGGTTGTGACCACCGGGTCATTCTCATCCAGTTTCTCGGCCAACACGGCAACCGGACACAGCAGAAGCAGCGTTCCGACCCATGTTAGTGTAAACACCCAGAAGCCCAAGCCCAGTGAACTTCTAATTGGTTCACATCCCATCCTCCTGCCCCTGTTCCTGGCAGTCTGAAAGAAAGCACTCCAAGTTTCTGAGTGGTGCCTCCACTGAGACATGATTGCCAGTTCTCAGCTTAGTTTTTTTATCCTTAATGAAAATATGTTCAGTTAAGCTTTTCCACTTATGCTATGCAGATGCAAACACAAACAAAATCCAGGGTGACTTGTGCAGAAGACGGTTGCAGTTGATAACAGCCTTTTTATAACCCAGTGAGCTCCAACCATCCAGAGGAACGATAGCAGTCATTCATTTTCTTCCTGCACACCTGAGAAATATTCCTCACTAGATGGAAAACACTCCACAAAAAGGTCCCGTCAGCATCCTCTGAAGGAAAGATGAACACTCTCATTTTCAAACATCAATTCTCGGGGGTGGAGGCACCATTCACTGAAGAGTGTCTGTCATTCGAGTTGTAGACGCAGGAGTAGCGGTGCAGTGGCGATCGTGGTTTAAGGGTTGATTATGTAGAGAGGTCTGTCATCTGCAACGGAAAAGAGAGAGAGAAAAAAAGCACCAGTCAGCAAACATATGAAGAAAGATAATCACATTGTCAGTGCAGTGCCCTTTATTTTCACTTATTATTTATACCTTTTAATGGACATTAAATAATAAACCATTAACATTAAATTTTATCTTATACACAAATGCACAGGCATCCATCAAATAAATAGGAGCTTTTTATTTATAGCACATCGCCACATGATTAAACTTCACAGTGGAAATGGTCTATCTGTATGCAGAGTTTGTTCAGCAATTAAATTTTATATGAATCAAATACAACATTAAGCCTTTGACAGCTTTAATGACTGTTCCGCTTAGGAACACTTGGTCCTTATAAACCTGGGGGATGTTACTTCAGAATGCACACCTCTCTACACCACAAAATCTGCTTAGACATGGATTGAGATCTGATCAAGTATCAGCAGGATGTCCAGAGAGAATTATCCCAGGAAACAAGGACTCAAAGGTTCATCCACCAATATCCAGACAACAGGTGAGACAGAGGACCTAATCTGTTCTGGAAACAGCTTAGGTCCTCCTGCGGGCGTGGCCAAAAGCCTCAGTAGTGACACAAATATGTTTTGACGAAGCGCAGATAAAATAACTTCAATGAGGTGCATAATTTTAAAATTGTTCCTTTATGGCAAAAACTAGTCCTGATGTTTTTGCTATGGAATAAATTGATCAGCTAACTTCTCTCCTCCATCAATAGGCTTCTCTTGATTATGAAACCCATAACTTTTGTTGGCCTTTCCACTGTAAATATTCTATTCCTATCTTGTTCTCTACTGTCAATGTTTTATTTCATTCCTGTAAAGAGGTACTGTGAAAGAGTGCACTATTGCCAACTCCTCAGCAAGGAAAGTAGTTATTGGGAGCAGCTGTACTGCTCATTGCAACTGCATTTCCTATGATGCTGTACGTGTTGTTGCCAGTGTCTAATAGAATGGAAAAATGTCGCTAGTTGCTGTTTTGAAAAAATGTTGCTAGACCATCACTGAAAAGTCACTAAATTGGCAACAGTGCATAAGTTACTTGGTTTTGTGCTTCTCCAAGACTTTTAGAGATCATTATAGAGCATGTAAATGATAATGATAAAAATGAATTGGTGCTTGAGGGTTATAGTCTCTCAAGATATCACTTGAATTTAAGTTAGCGCTTTAGCCTTAGCTTCCACTAAATACCATGCTGTCATAGTGCTTTGGAATTAGCAGAGCTAATGTTTATGATTAAGTGCTGTAGTGTTAACGCAACTAACTCATTCATTAGCGGTCCCTATCACTGACAGATAAGAATCTTGATGTTATCCAAAGGAGTGGTCTTACTCTCAATTATTCCCAGGAACATTTTCATGAATGCAAAGTGAAATCAAAAATACTTCAAAAGTAGCCCCCATGCACTACTTTTGATGTGGTTATAGCATAGTTTTCTAGCATGACAGAACACCATGTCACAAGGTACAAATGATAAAATGGATCAGAGATCAAAACAACTACATTTTGGACCCATGTCTATGAAACCCTACAGATCAGAATCTCACTGAATCCCTGTGGTCAGTTCTCAGAAAGCAAGTTAGTGAACATAAGTCAACAAACTGTTTTCGACTCTAAGCCCTAATAAGAAAAGATGGACTGCTATCAATCAGGGTTGGTCCCAGAAGACAGTATAACAGATGTTAGGGAAACAAGGATCAACTCTGGAAAAATTGAGTCTTTACTCACATCGACTAGAAAGCTGTTAGCGATGATCAAACACAAAATTAAACATGTGAAGACAACTGATGTTAAGGCTGGTTGTTGCAATCTGCTTCCAGTGTGTTATTACTTTCTGGAGAGGAACTGACATGGAGGTATCAGGCTAGCAGTAAAGATACTTACAAAGATGCTCTGTTTTCAATAGAATTAACTGTGATTAATACAAATATCTAAAACTGAATTGATGGGCACAAAAACAAAAAAAAGAGAAATATTTTTCTTTTTCTTTTAGCAGTCCATGAAGAACCTGAAAAACAGATCAGTATAATGACTCAGACAACATGAGTAAAATTACGTTTGATGCGTTTAAGTGTTTCTGGCTGAAACACTTAAACACAGTGTTTCTGATAAAACATTTTGGCTCTCATTTTCACCCAGTTTAGAAGCCAAACCAGCTGTAGAGGAATTAAAACCTTAAAACTGGACAAAGATCACTTCCGCTTCCAGAGAAGCTGCACCTACAAAAGAATAAATTCCAACAGATGAGCTGGGTGGGAATGGCAGAAGGAAAGGGAACAATTTCCTTCATGGGTTAAATGTTAGCAGCAGTGGGATAATAATGAGACAGAAGTGAATAAGAAATTGAAGATCAAACTACCACATGCAGCATAAAAAGGAAGTTCAACCCCTGTTTGTGTAGATAAAAGTGTTTTGATCATGACAACATGAAAACTTTTCTCCACTGGAAGAAAGCTGAATCTTGTTAATGAGCACACCCACCATGTGCCTCCAGAGATACAAGAAGACCAGTGTTTGTGTTCTGAGCATCCTTTCCCACATAAATAACTGATGCACACCAAAGATCATGAATTATGTACATATATTCTATGCACTTTTGAAATTCCTAAGCATCCAGCATTTCATTTGGCATGGCCCCATTTGGGACAGTTTATCTTTTCACTTCCTTCAAATGATCATGAATACTATAAACTAAAACAATATAAAGCACTTCTTAAACTTGCTTGAAATCAACATCTCTCCTTAGTGAATAAAACACCATATATGATCTTTTTAGTTTGTGTTTAAAAATGCATCCAAGCTGCTCCTGTTCTGACTTTGCATGATGTTGGTTGTTGAAATGTGGAACCAAATGCATAGAGGCGGAGGCAGCAACTGAGTTAGATGATTTAATAAAAAAACGCTGAACACAAAAAAGAGAAGATCCAAGGTACCCAAGGATTCAGCAAAAATTAAACCAAAAGATCCTCCAGTCAGGAGACGGTGAGGATCTGACAAGTAATGGCAGAGAATGAGAGGCTTAAATGCTGGGAGGTAGAAAGCTAGATAAAACCAGGGTTGATGAGCTAATTGATTGGAGGTGAGAGTGGTGATCAAGGAGCCAGGCTGAGGGGCAGGGCAAAAGTGGCACAGAGAAACTACATAGATATAGAGGGGAACACAAAAGAGTGAGGGAAGTAGCATAAGGGAACTGGAAATAATTCTAACACTAAGCTAAAAGAAAACATGGTAAAGTAGAAAAAGACAAAGATGAGGGGAAACAACGAAAGAGCACATAGTTAGAGCAACTAGAAGGACTAAACAAAGAAATAACCTAACTAGAATCACTTGTGTTTCCTCTCTTGCTCTCGATGAAGGCGGACACTTTTTTCCTCTGCTCCCTTCCTGCCCTTGTCTGCCCTGCTTGCTCTGTTTTTGCCCTGTCTTTTTCTATATTTTTGGAGCCTTTCTTTGCACATCCTCCAAATCTACAAATTATGGATCTAGTTAACCAGTCTCTCAATGCAACTGATAAAATTTTCTCTACGAGAAGTCTGGGCACAGGAGAGCCCCCTTGTCCTGCGGGGGACACACCCGGTAGGATACACCCTGGATTTATTAATGATAATAGGATTTTTGCTGTTTGGAATTTGCAGAAACCTGGCTTATCTACAAATTTGTGACGGACTTGGCCCAACTAGGGAACACTCAGACTGTTGGTGTGGACAGAGACGCAAGTTGGATGTGAGTTTTGCTGAGAAGAAATGGACCTGAGAAGTTGCTAGTTTTGGTTCAGTGGAATGCCCACAAATTAGTGGAATGAATCCACTAATTTGGATTACTGGGAACTGAGATGTATCGGAGAGACTTTAGGGAAGATTGAAATTTATAATTTACCCGATCTAAGACATTCTGTATCTGAATTGGCTTTTCCCGTGTTGCCTTGAAAGTGCTGGATATTTTCAATCTCCTTGAAGATATGTAAACATAACGCTCCTTCCCACCGCACCCCCTCCTGTCAGCTGTGGAGCTGAGCGCTCCCAAGGACATGCCTTGATAACAACATCTTATCGGACTTCTGCCGGGAGGCTGAGCAATGTGGTTTCATGGCCCTGTGATGTCACCACCTTCACTCATGACTTTGTTTTGTCCTTTGTTTTGTCTAAATGTTGCCATGTGCCCTAATGTGTCCTTTCCTCTTTTTAATTTATTATTTAGAAAACTGTGGAGTACTCACTTTTAACCCAGAAAAGGAATTAGATTAGTCACTCTTTAGCTTATTTTTTTAGAAACTGTAGAGTACTCACTATTTAGATCAATATTATACTTCTTAGATTAATTTTTAGATTATTATGCAGAGGGACTCCTACTATTGCAATCCAGAACAAACTTAGAATCCAGAAAAAAATCCAGAAAATATCTTTCAGAACAGGAACACTTTGTTTTTATTATTACTTAGAAATTGTGGAGTACTCATTACTTTTACAAATTTAGAACATACTTAGAAAGTCCAGAGATTACTTACTTATACATATCTAGCAACCCAGTAGTCCAGAGGATACTTACTCACACTTATTTAGCAACCCAGAACAGGGATTATAACTTGGAATCCAGAAAAACTGCCTTAGCAACTACTTTTTAGACTCCTATTCTACCAAACCAGAAAAGGAATTAGACCAGAGGATACTTACTTATACTTATCTAACAACCCTGTATAGGATATGTATTTATTTACTTTGGATCAACATTATTAGCTTTTTCTTATTTTGCTCTTTCTTTTGGTTTGTTGTTTTGTTTGTATTTCCTTTTAATTCCTGTAAAGCACTTTCTATTGCCTTGTTGCTGAAAATGTATTGTATAAATAAATTACCTTTACCTTTACCTTTAAAGAAAGATGGACATATGGGGTGCTGTGGTGGCTCAGAGGCAAAGCACGAACCATGTATGAAGGCCTTAGTCCTCATGGCCGTAGTCACAGGTTCGATTCCGGCCTTCCCTCTCTCT